CCTGCCACCTTAAGTGTACGTGGCTGGCGCCTTAGCCGCCACTTGAGCCACAGGCGCCAAGCCCCCTCAAGGATATTTTAAGAGTTAAATGAAATAAGAGTAGAATAAACAGTAAGGACACTATTATTGTCACATTTTCAGAAATCACTGCTACAAAGAGGTCATCCGATTCACTGCTTGCTTCTTCAAGGTTTGGGCCCTAAGTCTTGGGCCAAGGATAAGGGCTAACCCTGGAATAAACTAGTATCATAGTAATACTAACAATAGTCTTAGAGCACACACTTTAACAATAGTAATGCATTTTCACAGAATCTGTAATCTTTTTGTGCTTATTACACGGCAGGCGCTATGTTGGGTGTCTTATATTCATGAGCTCAGTGCATCCTAACCCTAACAGGTAGACACTTATGCCCATTGTACAGATGAGGCAAGTGGAACTCAGAGACCACAAGCTCCTCGAGGGCAGGGATTATGTCTATCCTGCTCTTTGTTGTAGCCCCAGCACTTAACAATGTCTGGCTCAATAAACTTTTTTTTTTCTTTTTGAGACAGAGTCTCAAAACTGTTGCCCTGGGTAGAGCGCTGTGGTGTCACAGCTTACAGCATACCTCAAATTCTTGGGCTTAAGTGATTCTCTTGCCTCAGCCTCCCAAAGCTGGGACTACAGGTGCCCCCCACAACGTCCAGCTATTTTTTTGTTGTAGTTGTCATTGTTGTTTTAGCTGAGCCAGGTTCAAACCTGCCAGCCTTATATGGTCAGTGTCCTACACATTGAGCTACAGGCGCCGCCTCAATAAACATTTCTTGAATAAAAGAATAAACTCGCTCAAGATCGCATTGACTGGTAGGTGGCAAAGCTAGGACAGAAGACCAGGTCTGCCTAAACCAAAGCTCTTGCCCACTCCTGGCTGCGCTTTCTGCCACCAGGGCTGCTCAGCTGAGCAAATACCTGCAAACCCTGAGCCACAGTTGGTGATGATATCCAGGAGAGCATCAGGCAAGAAGCCAACAGTGGCAAAGTGCTTCAGGAAAATGTCCCCCTGCCGCTTGGACAGCTTGCTGCCATCCCTGTTGAGAAGTAGGGGGAGGTGGGCAAACTGAGGTGGCTGCCAGCCCAGGGCTTGGTAGAGAAGCAGGTGCTTGGAGGTGGAGACAAGCCACTCAGAACCCCGCAGCACATGGCTGATGCCCATGTGGTGGTCGTCTACCACACAAGCCAGGTGGTATGTGGGGAAGCCGTCACTCTTCAGAATGACTGGGTCTCCTTCCACACTGGCCACTTCATGTCGATTCCAGCCATATACCAGGTCCTGGAAGGCTGGCGCTGCCTCTTCCAGGCGAAAGCGGATAGCAGGCTTAGGATCCTTGGCCAGCTTCTGGGCCACCTGCTTCTGGCTCAGGTTCCGGCACCGATTGTCATACCTATTGGGAAGCAGAGTAACGTGAATACCATTAGTGGACATGAGTCCTCCCTTTGTCTCTGATAGCTGTGTCACCTTGGGCAAGCCATTTGCCCCTTTAAGCTGCTTCCTCAGTCTAGAATGGGGATAACAACACAGTTGTGTGGGAACACTAAGTGAGAGAACACAGCGTGGCAGATGCTAATGTGTGCCTTCAGAATAGCCAGCCGTGCTTTTGCCTTGCTAAGAAGAAAATGGAGAAATGCTTAGTCTGAGCGCTTGACTCATGACTAGTACAGCCAATCTTGCACTCCCACTGTCCTCTACCAGTGACCAGTCCAGGGAACATAACCCCACTCTAGTCACTGAGACAAAAAAAGTATGCGAAAGAAAAGATAGACAGAGACACAGAGACAGAGAGACAGAAAAAGAGAGAAAGAAAAGAAAAATTCTAACAAGAGTTGTCTATGGAGAGCAGAAGTAAGTGGGAGGAAGATGTTTCCTTTTTTCACTTTTTAAAAAAATTCATTATTTTATTTATTTATTTTTAGACAGTCTCACTCTAACACCTTGGGTAGAGTGCCGTGACTTCATAGTTCACAGCAACCTCAAACTCTTGGACTCAAGTGATTCTCTTGCCTCAGCCTCCCAAGTAACACCTGCTACAATGCCTGGCTATTTTTTTTAAGAGATAGGGTCTCACTCTTGCTCAGGCTGGTCTCCAACGCCTGAGCTCCAGCAATCCACTGCCTAGGCCTCCCAGACTGTTAGGATCACAGGCGGAGCCACTGCATCTGGCCTTTTATGTTATTTTTTTGAGACAGAGCCTCACGCTACCCCCCTGGGTGGAGTGCCATGGCATCACAGCTCATAGCAACCTCCAACTCCTGGGCTCAAGAGTGTCTCCTGCCTCAGCCTCCCAAGTAGCTGGGACCACAGGCGCCGGCCACAACGCCTGGCTATTTTTTTTTTTTTTTGGTTGCAGCCATCATTGTTGTTTGGCGGGCACGGGCTGGATTTGAATCCGCCACCTTAGGTGTATGAGGCTGGCGCCTTAGCTGCTTGAGCCACAGGCACTGAGCCTTATGTTTTTTTTTTAGACAGTGTCAACTTTATGTGCTGGCGTCATAGCTCATAGCAACCTCAAACTCTTAGGCTTAAGCAATCCTGTTGCCTCAGTCTCTGAGTAGCTAGGACTACAGGCAGCCGTCACAACACATAGCTATTTTTAGAGACGGGGGTCTCACTCTTGCTCAGGCTGGTCTCGAACTCCTAAGCTCAAGCGATCTACCCACCTCAGCCTCCCAGAGTGCTAAGATTACAGGTGTGAGCCACTGAACCTCGTCCCCCTTTTTCTTAAGTAAGAGACAGGGTCTTGCTATGTTGTCCAGACTGGAATGCAGTGACTATTTACTGGTTCAATCATAGCCACACTGCAGCGTTAAACTCTTGCCTCAAGAGCTCCTCCTACCTCAGCCTGCTGAGTAGTTGGGAATACAATATATGCTACCATGACTGGCTCTTTCTGGCCCTTTTAAATATAGACAATAAAAAAACTTAGTTATTCAAACTAAAAAGTGAAATTACTTTACGTGTTACTGCCTGAGACCCAATGTGGCAGGCAGCTTCTGTCACAGTCCCAGTGATACCTACCTCCTGACGACTTTGCCCCTGTGCAATCCCTCCCCTTGAGTGATGCCCAAACCTGAACGGAATACAGGTTGAGCATCCCTAATCCAAAATGCTCCAAAACTCAAAACTTTTGAGCATCATAATGTCACAAATGACACCATGTGACAGTCCACAGTCATAGTTCATGAACAAAATTATTAAAAACAGTGCATAAAATTACCCTCAGCTAGGTGCATGTCTGTAATCCCAGCACTCTGGAAAGCCAAGGCAGGTGAACTGTTTAAGCTCAAGAGTTTGCTCAAGATCCTGTCTCCACTAAAAATAGGAAAACTAGCTGGGTGTTGTGGCAGGTGCCTGTAGTGCCAGCTACTTGGGAAACTGAGGCAAGAGGATCACTTGCGCCCAAGAGTTCAAGGTGGCTGTGAGCTATGACACCAGGGCACTTTACCTAGGGCAACAGAATGAGACTGTCTCAGGAAAAAAAAAAAAATCACCCTCTGGTTATGTACATAAGGTGTATATAAAACATCAATGAGTTTCATGTTTAGATTTGAATCCCATCTCAAAGGTATCTGATTATGTATTTCAAAAATCAAAAAAATTTGGGAACTGAAACATTTCTCATCCTACGTCTTTCAGATAAGAGATATTCAGCCTATAAAACTAAAGTGGTATGACGTTACTTCCACAATTGGGTGGATTCCCACTTCCACCTGCTTGCTTTCACCTGTTTATTCTGAGGAAAGTCAGCTGCCATGTTGTGAGCTGCCTTCAGAGAAGCCCATGTGGCAAGGAGCCAACATTTCCAGGCAACAGCCAGCAAGGACCTGAAGTCTGTTAATAGCGTTGAGAGAATAGGGAAGCAATCTTCTTGGATCTACTCTTTCTCAAAACTGCAGTCAAGCCAAGACTTTGACTGCAGTTTTGAGAAAAACCCTGAGCCAGAGGACCTGGCCAAGCCTGACTCATAGACCGAGAGGTAATACAGTTTGGGATAATGTCTTACACAGCCACAGAAAACAAATACACAAACTTCAGGAGGCATCTGTGACAGGCTGGGGCTCTTACCGAGGCGTCTGGCGGTTTCGTAGGGCCTCCTTCTTCAGGAGCTCCAGCCTCTGGGGTGAACAGAAACAGGGGTAAGCAGCTCCAGTCTTCAGCAGTGCTTCTGTGGCCTGGGCATATAGCTCCAGTCGCTGAGACTGCTGGTAGGGCCCAGCAGGACCTCCTCGGCGGGGGCTCTCATCAGGGGGGATACCTGGAACAGAGGTTGAGAGAATTGTTATCAAATAATGACAACTAGAACTTTTTTTTTTTTTTTGAGCTGGGCTCAAGTGAATATCCGGCCGTTATTGCTGTTTGGCAGGCTGGGCTGGATTCGAAACTGCCACCTTAGGTATATGTGGCTGAGTGACACTTGAGCCACAGGTGCCAAGCCAATGACAACTAAAATGTACACAGCTCCCATTCCCAGGCACAAATTCTAAGTGCTTTCACACAGATTAAAGCTTTACCCTCATAATAATTTCAGGTCAAGAGTTTGCTCAAGACCTTGTCTCCACTAAAAATAGGAAAACTAGCTGGGTATTGTGGCAGGTGCCTGTAGTGCCAGCTACTTGGGAAACTGAGGCAGCATAGGTCAGCACCACTAGGATGTTCCTTCTAGAGATAAAAGGTTAAAGCACAGAGCAGTGAGGCATTCAAGGTCACAGGGCCTCATGGAATAAGGAGCAAATGGAGGTGTATTGGCTCTGCAGTCTAAACTCTGCAGGCTTTAGAACAGCCCAGGCCTAGTAACAGCCGACTTGTTTTTTTTTTTTGAGACAAGAGTCTCATTATGTCTCCCTTGGTAAGAGTGCCATAGCATCACAGCTCACAGCATCCTGAAACTCTTGGGCTTAAGTGACTCTCTTGCCTCAGCCTCCCCAGTAGGTGGGACTATAGGTGCTCACCACAATGCCCTGCTATTTTTTTGGTTGCAGTTGTCATTGTTGTTTAACAGGGCTGGGGCAGGCTTGAACCCACCAGACTTGGTATATGTGGCCAGTGCCCAACTCAATGACCTACGGGCATGGAGCCAGGAAAGCAGACTTAAGAGAGAGAAGCAGAGTCTAGGCCATAGCCCATAAGGCCCTGGATAAATGACTTACTAGCTGTGACAAAGGATCTCAAAGCACTCATAATGTATGTCAGATGACCTCCCTGAAACCTCAAACTACCTACCACCTACCAAGTAGGTGCTGTTATCTCCATTCTGTAAGGAGGAAACTAAAGCACAGAGGTGCATTGTTATGTCACCTGACCAAGGATAGGGGCACAATCAGAATTAAGTTAGACTAGCAGGCATAGCTGGGCACTGGGGTGGGCACCTGTAGTCCCAGCTACTTGGGAGGCTGAGGCAAGAGAATTACTTAAGCCCAAGAGTTGGAGGTTGCTGTGAGCTGTGATGCCACAGCACTCTACTGAGGGTGACATAGTGAGACACTGTCTCAAAAAAAAAAAAAGGCTCGGCACCTGTAGCTCAAGCAGCTAAGGCGCCAGCTGCCAGCCACATAGACCTGAGCTGGCAGGTTCGAATCCAGGCCAGGCCCAACCAAAAAATAAGTGGGTGTTGTGGCAGCCACCTGTAGTCCCAGCTACTTGGGAGGAGGAGGCAGAAGAATCGCTTGAGCCCAGGAGTTGGAGGTTGCTGTGAGCTGTGATGCCACAGCACTCTACCCAGGGCACCAGCTTTAAAAAAAAAAATACTAGCAGGCTGCAGAGCCCACATTCTTGTTTTCTGATAGAGTCTCACTTTGGGTAGAGTGCTGTGCTATCATAGCTCACAGCAACCTCAAATCCTGGGCTGAAGCTGGGTGTTGACCCTCTTGCTGCAGCCTCCCAAGTAGCTGGGACCACAGGCATCTGCCAGAACACCCAGAGGGTTATTCTATTTTGTTTTAATCTTTTTAGTAGAGATGGGGTTTTACTCTTGCTCAGGCTGGTCTCAAACTCCTCAACTCAGGTGATCCACCCACCTTGGCATCCCAGAGTGCTAGGATTTTTTTTTTTTTTTGAGACAGAGCCTCAAGCTGTCCCCCTGGGTAGAGTGCCATGGCATTACAGCTCACAGCAACCTCCAACTCCTGGGCTCAAGCAAGTCTCCTGCCTCCGCCTCCCAAGTAGCTGGGACTACAGGCGCCCGCCACAACGCCCGGCTATTTTTTTGGTTGCAGCCGTCATTGTTGTTTGGCAGGTCCGGGCTGGGGATTTGAACCTGCCACCTTAGGTGTACCTGGCTGGCGCCTTAGCCCGTTGAGCTATAGGCGCCGAGCCGAGTGCTAGGATTTTAAGTGTTAGCCACTGTGCCAGGCCAGAGTCCACATTCTTTTTTCTTTTTTTTTTTTTTGATATACATTAAAGAGACTTGTTTAAAGTTAGATCAGGGGCTCGGCGCCTGTGGCTCAGGTGGCTAAGGCGCCAGCCACATACACGTAAGGTGGCGGGTTCGAATCCAGCCTGGGCCCACCAAACAACAACGACATCTGCAACCAAAAAATAGCCGGGCGTTGTGGCAGGCACCTGTGGTCCCAGCTACTTGGGAGGCTGAAGCAGGAGAATCGCTTCAGCCCAGGAGTTGGAGGTTGCTGTGAACTATGATGCCAGGGCACTCTACCCAGGGCAATAGCTTGAGGCTCTGTCTCAAAAATAAATAAATAAATAAATAAATAAAGTTAGATCAGGAAGGGACCTCCAAACTTAGCTGATCCAACCCTTTTTTTTTTGTTTGACAAGGGAAGAAACAGAAGCCCCGTGAGAGAGGAAGCTAAATAATACTAGTAATAATCAAAGCCAAACATTTAATGTGGTCAGCACCTTGGCATGACCCATAGCTTAAGAGTGACTCCCCCAGGAGAACTGAAAACATATTGACATAAAACCCGGTTCATAGAAGTTGTATTCCTCATAGACAAAAATGCTCAAATGCTCATTGACTGATGGATAAATGAAATGTAGTGCATCCCTAGAAGGAATGTTACTTGGGTCATACAAAGGAATGAAGCACTGACATATGCTTCCACGCACAGGCATTTCATGGGGAGGAAAAGCAGCCAGTCACAAAAAGCCACATATTGGCCAGGCGCAGTGGCTCATGCCTATAATCCTAACACTCTGGGAGGCCAAGGCAGGTGGACTGCTTGAACTCATGAGTTCAAGACTAGCCTGAGGAAGAGATTTGGTTTCTGGCACACCATGTGTCCTCATAGCCATAATCATTCTGGTTTACTCCCCATGAAGGACTACACTGGCTTCCTTGCTGCTCCTGAAATTTGCCTGGTACTTTCCTTCTGTGGGGCCTTCCAGCTGCTATTCCCTTTGCTTTGAACATTCTTCCTCTAGTAACCAAATGGTACCCCCTCACTTCACGCCAGTCTCTGCTCCAGCATCATCTCCTAGACTCTAGGACCTAAAGTGCAGTCCTTGCCTTGGTTCCCTAATTACCTTTTCCTCCACTTCATACCATGTTAAGAACCAATCAGTCCATTTAACCGTCTTTCCCTTCTGAGTGTGGCATCTCAGCCCAACATCCTTAGCACCCAGAACAGTCCTGAATCACAGTAAGTGATCTTCTTGAATAAATTCTTTTTTTTTTTTTGGAGACAGTTTCACTTTGTCACCCTTGGTAGAGTGCCATGGCGTTATAACTTAAAGCAACCTCAAACTCTTGGGGTCAAGCAATCCTCTTGCCTCAGGCTCCTAAGTAGCTAGAACTACAGGTGCCCACCATATGCCCGACTATTGTTAGAGATAGGGTCTCACTGTGGCTCAGGCTGGTCTCAAATCTGTGAGCTCAGGCAATCCACCACCTCAGCCTCTTAGAGTGCTAGGATTACAGGTGTGAGCCACCACACTTGGCTAAATTCTTTTATTCAACAAATCTTTTTTTTTTTTTTTTTTT